GTTGTAGCTTTGTGACAAAATTCAAATAAACCAAACCCACCTAAGAATCAACTAAGATTCTTGGCATATCTGTATAACTTTCTAATAGTTTAAATGCTAAGTTTCCCATAAAAACATTGGCATAGTGTGGTGCTATTTTGGTACTAATAATCATGCCTTTTGTCTGAATATAGAAATCATTATTAAATTAAAAATCGTTAGGTGTATGAATGCTTCTTCCTACACCTATAATAGTCTGTGTGTTGGTTTTGTCAAATTTCAACAGGATAGATTCAAGAGCTGTCGGGCCTTCTTTTTGTGGGATGTTTGTGTAACTAGGGGCAAGGGCCCCGTGTACCAGCGCCTAGCGACGCCTCTGGATGTCACTGTAGTTTAACTGTGTATTATGCAGTGTAAGATTTGTACATTAACGATGAGATCACCATAGTGAAGATGACAGTTATGGTGCTGACAGTATAAATATTTTTTAAATTTAAAACTTAAAAATGTAAGATGGTAAGCAACACCGCAAAAAAGGTTCCCGATGACGTGTTTCTATATATGTTATAATAATTAATTCATCTAATCTATACTCTTCTTACCTAGTGCATAATGAAATAGTCACAATCAGGGTTAGTACTTAAAAGTTCTTACTTTAACTTGAATGTAAGATATAACTTATTTCAATATGACTTTGATTTTGAAACCAGTGGAACCTACAGAATTTTGTTAAGTCTAAAAACTTAGATTAATTTAAAGCATGTAGTGTTGGTCTTTTATTTCCGGATCGTGTTACATTATAACAGTCAATACACCGTGAGCAGATATCACGAATAAGCATACAAAATAATTATAATTAAAAACGACCAAGCCGTTTTACACACTCCCATTAATTAAAGCAAGAAAGAAAAGCAAACATATACAGGATTTTAAGGTGTTGTTTTGATTCTTGCGCAAAGCCACACGAGGCCTATCTGCGCTAGCCGTCTCTGATTTAGCAGTGTTAGACTAGAGGGAAAGCAGCTAGTCAACACCACCCACCCCTAAATCTTGGGCTATTCTTTTGCCACGAATAGTGCGATTAACCGTCACATTATAACACCCCACAGCTGAAAAAGTAAGCATTTTCGGTGACGGGGATTCGAACTTGTGATCCTCAGAATGAGAGTCGAACGCCTTTACCACCATGCCATGGGATTTTAAGGAAGTGATAAGGTAATTTCTGTAATCAAGTTAAATGATACTTTAAAGTTAGTAGTTTAATTTTACTTTAGATTTAGCAGTTAAGTAAAAGCCGATATATAGTCAGTTTATGATGTTTGCCAACAAGATTGATACATAATTTTCTTTTTTTTAATACAAATACGCTTTTATATACACACACAACAGTACAATTTACAATAACAATTATTAAAAACATTGATTTAGAAACAAAAGTTTCATAAACTTACAAACAATATAGTCTTCTTTCTAGCCTGGAACTTCCTTGATATCTTATCGAGGGTTCAACGATGAGCGAGTTGACATAGGTATAATTCACTTAACAGGGAGCTAGTTAGCCCTGTAGTCTTCACTGTTCACACGCCTATTAGTGATTGAGTTTCCACCGATGACGTTAGGTAATTTTTTCGTAAAAGTATTAATGGCCGATGTGAATCCACAGAAGTTAAAGTTTCCTGGTCAAATATCTGAAGTTTTCCGATTGATGAGCGTTATAATAATCAGTTATAGCTTCCGAAGTTTATAACAAACTAATAATAGATACTACTTTCGGTTATATTTATAGCCGTGTGGAGGCGTTCTAGAAATTTCAGTTTTACATAAAAATACAAATTTAACTGTTTACATATATATACATATAATGTTGATTCTTACTTTCGAGAATCTTCTACGACTATAGAGAATAGGCGGGAGTTTTGCAATACATATTTAACACGATAAGCTACACATGTTTTTAAATATAAATGTAATCTAAACATACGTCGATAATGAAATAAATATTTAATAACAAATTCGTTACACTATGTTAAAATAGCTTGTGTGAATCAGTGACAGTCTGAAGGGCCTTTAGAAGTTCTTTGTCAATTTCTTATTTAGAAAAAATAAAATAAAACGATGTGTTTCTAATTAAGCACAAAGCTACACTATGGGCTATCTGTGCTCTGCCCATCACGGGTATCGAAACTCGTTTTTTTAGCGTTGTAAATCTGCAGACGTGCCACTGGGCGGCAAAACGACGTGATAAGAAGCAATAACTTAATGTATTATTGTAATGGTTTCTATTGTTAAACTGGTTTTTCTTTTAATTATTCAGTAAACATATTTCCAAGTCCACTTAATGAAACGGAAAGCGTTTTATTTCTTCTATCACAAGTTCATCAAGTGTTAGGCCTAACTTCACAAATATCGATAGTCCTGTGCTTGATAACTTCTTCCGTGTCTCCAGGACTTCGTTGTAACACAAATTCAACATTCACAGAACTGAAGTATCAAGACAAGCTGACTAACATACTCATTAACTCAATAATCAATACAAACACTAAATCTACTCTTGTCTGATCAGTGGACCCCCCAATGGCACAGCGGTACGTCTGCGGACTTTCCACGCTAGAATCCGGGTTTTGATACTCGTGGTGGGCAGAGCACAGGTAGCCCATTGTGTAGCTTTGTGCTTAATTACAAACAAAACTAATCAGTGGTTTTATATCTTTTAAAATCGAATAATTTCCCAAACTTTCAACAAAATCCCAGACATTGTGCTCTTATCACATCATATCAAAACTCTGTCTAGTGGACAATGGGCTATCTATGCTCTGCCCACCACTGATATCGAAACCCGTATTCTCGCGTTGTACGTCCGCAGACATACTGCTGTACCACTGGGGGCACAAAATATGCTATATGTGTAAGTAGGTATGGTTTCCACATAACACGTTTGTTAAGAAAGTTCGTTAAGATTATTTTTCTATAGCTACCTATTGTTTTGTGTCATTCTCATAGAATGGCACCTTCAGTCTTCCTGTGGTAAAGATAGCTGCAAGGTAACTTTTAGGATGTAAAGTTAGACAAACATCTTTCCTACTAACAGTTGGGTGATCTTTAGAGGTAATACCCTCTTTTATATTTTATTTAGAATGACCAGTCACGCGTGAAGCGCCAGTCGTTCTTAAAAAATCTGATGCTAACAAGTTAACTAAGTAACGTGACATTTAGTCTGGAACAGGATCACAAGCGTTAGTTGTGCTTATGGCCTCATCTGTATAAGTTGGAATGGCTTCAAACCTAACTCTTCAGTAAAGTCGAACTGTTGTGGCAAATAAAGTACATTTTCGCTGTGCTTTATTGATTAAAGACTGCTTATTGTGATTGTATGTTTGTGTTTAGTCTCTCTTTATTTCTTGCTGACTCAATTAGTCAGAAAATACAGAATTATTTTGCAATATATATCTTGAAGATTTTCCCGTTATTCAGCGGATCTATCTTGCCACTCTTAGGTTAAGCCAGTGCTATCTGAAAATGCAACAAATAAATTGACAATAAATGAGCGAATTCAGGGTGCGATATGAAAAATATAAACTTCTTGAACACTGGTTAACTGTAGACTTTTATACACGTGTTGCATAAATAATTTGGTCACGTTGCTTACTTGGTAATTATTAGGATATATCTTTAGGAATGTGCTGGTCGTTATTTTTTGACTAGTTTACTCAAGCTAAAACCATCTCGCTGGTTTGGTTTAGTTATCTTTAGGAATGTGCTGGTTATCACTTCCGGTGGCTACTTTACTCAAGCTAAAACCATTTTGCTAGTTTAGTCATCTTTAGGAATGTGCTGGTCATAACTTCCGGTGACAAGTTTACTCAAGCTAAAACCATCTCGCTAGTTTAGTTATTTTTAGGAATGTGCCGGTCACCACTTCCGGTGACAAGCTTACTTAAGCTAAAACCATCTCGCTAGTTTAGTTTAGTTATCTTTAGGAATGTGCTGGTCATCACTTCCGGTGACTAAAACCATCTCGCTAATTTTATTTATTTATTTTTAGGGGCGAGCTGATCATTACTTTTGGTGACTAGTTTACTCAAGCTAAAACCATCTCGCTAATTTAATTAATTTATTTTTAGGGACGAGCTGATCATTACTTTTGGTGACTAGTTTGCTCAAGCTAAAATCATTTCGCTAATTTGGTTTAGTTATCTTTAGGAGTGCGCTAGTTATCTTATTTTGGTAGGTAGGTTACATAGGTTAAATTCTTCTCGCTTGTTAATCAGGTGGTATCGTTAATATACAACGTTGATAATTATACATAACTTTTGTGAGAGTTGACTTGATGAATAATAATAATATAATTAATCGCACATGTCTATTTTTTTACTATAATGGACGTAGCATGTATGTCAGTATCTATATATGTAACAAAAACACTCGCGCCATCTATTGAATGGCACCACAAACAAAAATCCATAAAATATTTCACACTTTGGGTATTCAAGACTCAGACAATTAGAAAAATAACTGTGGTATGTGCAACAACCATTTCTTTATAACAGAACAAAATTTTAAATAAAAGTACTCTCCTCACAACAAGAACACAACTTTCACTAGGGTTTGCTTATATCTTTATTGATGTAATTTTTAAATGTAGTACTGAGAAACTGGGGTTCGTAAAAAAACGAATTTTTTTCAATAAACGGCACCACTTTTAATATATAAAAACAATATAGTTTATATGAGTAAAATGTATGAAAATTTTGACCACTGTACATTGAATCATTCTGATGCAATGAGTTGCGTATGGTTAAAGAGCACAAACACTTTTCCCGTGTAGTACTTTCCAGAAGAAAATCGTTTTTCAGAAAATGTTCACTTTTTCTTCATTTTTTTTTGAGTGAGGTACTAATACTACATTAGTAATTACTAGCACAAACAGCCGCCCTTATGGCGACGTTTCTGCTAGTAAGTATAATTCAAAAATAAACAGTCGTTAATTGAGAGAATTATGAGCTAAATTAATTTTAACCTTTTAGCATTTTCTTGATGGTTATTGCGCAAGAACAGATGTCCCACAGAAATATTAGTAAAGTAAAAAAACAAGATCTAGTAAATTTTATTCTTCATCTATACAAAAAAAGATACAGTTATTATTTCAATTAGCTGACGATTGGTCGTGAAATATAAAAAAAATATTAAACAATAAATAAAAAATACCCGTTCGCTTACATGGTGGAGTTTGTAAATCTGTTTTTTTGCAAAAAGATGTCAACAATTTTATTTTAACCATGTTTACTTGCACAAACAACTTTTCATAGGAACTTTTTTTTCTAGGATTTACCCCACGAGATATGGAAACGTTAACGTAAAACAATCATTTCTAAGCCTAAAGTGTTTAGAAGTCAGACTGTCTAACAAACAACAAATAGCGATATTTCAGGATGTAGATAAGCATTTCACTTTAGGGGTTGGTCTGAAATGGTTTCCTCCTTAGAATTTCCTAAGTAAAATAGGGACGTATATATAAATGTTTGATCCCAGCGTTGGAAAACTTGTTGTCAAAACATTTCTCCCCCTCCTCCAAGCATCGCTTGTATACTGCCTCGTTCTGTTTTCCCCAGACAAAGGCGCCTGGTTCTTCACTTTTTATATCTTGTAACAAGCCTAAGGTAGAATAAATTTGGTGACGTCACATTATTGCCCTCAATCCAAAGAAAGGGTCACCTATGAACTAGAGAGCTTGTTCCTCAATTTTAACTTTGGTAAGGTTCCGAGCATAAGTGCTGGTGGATAAAAAGAAAGTTTAGTGCTCCAAGTTCACTCAGTGTACTTAGGTAAGTTTTAACTTCGAAGGAGAAACTCTACTTGTAGTTTAAGCGGTAGGAAAATACGCTAGTATAATAAGGTTAAGGTTTCAGTAACGCAGAACGCTGTGTTCGCTCATTATACTTTGTTTATTTGATCGACTTCCGAAATATTAGGTGCAAATGTAGTATATAAATATAGTATGTAAGTAAATTACTAAATATACATTGAATTAGAACTCAAAAGGTAAGGTGGTGTATTTGAAATTGCGATTTATCCGTGTTTGAAGAAGTCCGCTTTGGATTATATATTTATTACTTTTAATTTGTGTATTGCACACGCAGTTGCAATTCGCGAGACGTGACTATAACTTGTAAGGGTATATTATTATTATTAGGATAATATTAGGATAAATTTTTAATTTAAATTTAACTAAAATATAGGATCAAAAACTATAGTTAAAATTTTCGGGCGCCTTCTCGTTATTTTTATGTCGTTTGTTATACCTTTTGGGCTATTTTTATTGCAAGTGACAGCACTACGATTTGTCTGCAGACTGCAGCATGTATAAATTTGGTTATACTTATACCGTGATTTGTGGCAGTTGTTAAACATGTTAAACAGGGGGGAGCAGTCGATTCATTACTGTGGACCATGAACCAGTACGTTATAATATTAATTAATAGCGATTTTGAAATATTGGGTAAAATTACTTCAATTCTTCTACCACTGGAACAGATTAAAATGTTTCTCATCGTAATATTATTATTTTTTGTAACTTCTAGTATAACTGCAAATATAAAGTACACGTGCATATTTTAGTTCTTATTATTAACTAGGCTTTCAAAAAGAAAATAACTAAAGTAGAATCTTGGGACGTAGAATGCTCAGTACAGTAGCCTCTTGACGTCTGTGATATAAATAATAATAATGTGTACGTGTGTGATGCCCCATTAAAATTATGAAATTTGATGGGGGATTTCTATTATCTACTTTTCTTTCTTAAGTTAACGAAGCTAGTATTATATAATGAAGTGATCAGAAATAATCAATGCCGTGAATCAATACACAAGACAACTAACATCCAAAATGATTAAGCTATGCACAATCATGGATACCCTTACCGTCAACGATATTTTCGGCCATAATCTTAATATCTCGCGATGTTCAAACAGCGTATGAGATTTAAGTCCATGTACTAAGGCAATGATGAGAAAAAACATTTTCGTAAATGTAAACATTAACATTTAATAATATTCACAATTATTTTAAGATTTATAGCCAATTACCTTAATGAAACTAAAGTTGTATTTACAAAAATACGTTGGATTACAATTGTAATGAGACTACATAATTGCTATCGGAACGCCCAGAACACCAGTCATAAAATGAGAGCCATAAGACCCATACTAGTTCACGTATATACTAACTGGTTATGCTTGTTCACGTACAGGCAATTGCGCTCATCCACGAACAAAAACGTGTTAAAAACAACACTAAACTAAAAATCGCAACTAAAGTACACTGGCCTCCTATTTTGCAGAAGTAAAGATAATTATCAAGTTAGGTATAGATGGTGGGGGGATTATTATTTTGTAAGGTTTAGATTTTGCATTTATTATTAAATTTAAAATCCATTTAGAATATTTTCTATTGGACTAAAATATAATATATTAACTGATTTACATAAAATGTTTTTACTTGTAACAAATTTAACACTTGCAAAATTACTTTTTGCACTCAGGGTGTTGGGAAATATTTCTTGTTATTGTCTCGTGAGGAAAGGTCATTCTTGCCTCTTGTTTTAGCCTACTGTTGCTTATTGCTTGTGGCAGTGTTTCCGTTTCGTGACTGGCACGTGGCGTCAAGAGATATGAAGAATTTTATCCCAGTTGCTACACAAAACCACCTAGTTTCTAGGTGTAGGTACACTAACCGTCATATTGGTCGTATAGTAATTTAAACACATTTTTAAACAAATAGTTTAAGCCATATGCGAAGCCTGTACTTAAAATAAACATGACTTCAATTTTATTTAAATAATAAATAACTTTTTTTTTTTTGGCAAGCGGGGAAACACACATACACACGTTTATTGTAAAATAATGATTAGTAATATTCCAAAAGCTTACTATGGTAACATCCTTCATTGGAAAGTGATTTGTTGTATATTTGACAAACACTTTGTATTTTATAATTAAGTCATTGGATTGAACAAATTGATGATTTATGTGAAGATAATGACGTAATATACCACGTTGATTATGCAATTTGTATAATTATTGATGACGTGTACAATAATACACTAAGTTTATTGAAGATACAGCTGCTTTTTGTTTACCACGTACAAGCCCACACTTATTACTATTGTTTTTAATAACACATCCTATTAATAATGTTCATTG